GGCGGCATATATATATATATATATATATATGTTATTATTTTCTGGAATTTCAGCCTTTAATTGAAGGTACCAAGGAAAAACTATCACAATTTTGTCATGTACCGGTGAGTCATGTTAATTATGATTTTTATGAATCTAAATCTAAATTGTTACTAAACGTTTTCTATTATCTTCTAGGTTTCAAATATTCTCAATATTCATGATGTTCCTAATATCTGGCATATCCCCCTATTACTTTGGGTGAGTAAGTTTCCAATGTACGTATTTGATTCTGTGCTTCAATTATCAGGTCCATTCACTAAATCTTGTCTTACATGATGTTTGAAATTTAGTAAACCAACAACTAATTTGTTTTTATGATGATATCCTAACTTCTCATCCTCCATCTAGAACCAAAATGCTCACGAGGCCATAATGAAGCAACTAAATCTCAGGTAGGTACCCTGCTGAAAATTAAGGGCTTTTTTGGGACCAATTTTTTTTTCCTTAGTTTTTTAAAAGTATGCTTTTTTAGTGTATTTTTTATATCTTTTTTTCGTTTCTAAAAATAAATTAACATCTTTTTTGAAAACACTCAAAACAACTTTTAGAGTTGTTTTGAGTATTTTTAAAAACAATCATATCTTTATTAAATATGCCAAATATGTTTTGTTTCAAATCAAAATATAAACAAAATAAAATAAAAATAAAAGCAAAATACAAAAAACAAAAGTAACCTCAAACGGCCTTTAAGCTTTTCCTTATTGGTTCATCTTCTATCATATAGTATCTATCTGATTATGCTGCTTTTGGTGCAGCATCTGTAATGCTCCTAATTTTCAGAGCTGGAGAAAGATGGCAGAGTCATACGATAACCTGACTAGTTCTGTCAGTTTTATCAAATTTTCATGTATATTTATTGTACATCTAGTCATGGTTTTCCTCATATAAAACTACCCCTTTTTTGCAGGTTAAAATTGCTATGGTGGGGAAATACGTTGGACTATCTGATTCTTATCTATCTGTGATCAAGGTTTGTGGATAGCCTTGTATTTGCAACATATTGTCCTCTCCAGTTATTGTTACTTTTTGAGAACCTAGTTCTGCAACAATTCAAAATTTTTAGTTAATCACTTAGAAAAAGTCAGTTCCTTACTTGAGCCTCCTTGATGTGATAAAATTGAGAGTTGCTGTATTGAGGTCGATTAATTTATTTAAATTTGGTCCATACGCTTCCTATTGGCATAAGTTCTCAAAGTTAATTATCTCTTAACGCTTATGAGAGAGCACTTTAGATCAATAAGGTTACTCAGGCTCAAATTTACACTTAGTTTTTATCTTTATGGATAAATTTTAATTTATGAGGAACGTTTAGGGGATAAAGGTAGATCTCATTAAGGTTTCATTTAAACCTGACCGTATTTTATGTTGAATCAATTTAATAATTGGTCAATATTTGCATTCATTGGAAATATATAAATCTTAATTTAATTAGGTGGGCCTGTTATAAAAAAGGATGCTGTCTATAGTTGCGGAGTTTTGTGCCCTCAGAAATGCATGAGCACGGGTAGGTCTCTTCTCTAGCAGTGTTTTATGCCTATTTCTTGCTTGAACTCGCCAAGTGAAGGAACGGGGCATATCCTAATGCATGAAATTCTCACTATTGGAAGGTCTTGAAAGGGTTTATATAGACAGCCTTTAACTTCACATTATAGGAAGTCTATTTCATTGAATTACTTTTTAAATTTTTCTCTTTTGATATTTGTTGTTTTTATAGGCCCTTTTACATGCCTGTGTTGCTTGCTCTTTGAAGCCGTCAGTTGAATGGGTTGCTGCTTCAGATCTTGAAGATGAAAGTGCAAGATCGGTATGGTTTTTCAAAAACATCTCAAATTCTTGTTTAATTAATGGCATATATGGTATCTAACCTATTGGCCTGTGAAATTAATTCTAAGCCTTTTATACTTTTATTGTTAATACAGACTCCACAAGCACACGCTGCTGCATGGAAAACCATTGAAGTAAGATTTTTGTACTTTGATTTTAACCTTTAAAATATACATACATGTGTGTGTGTGTGTGTGTGTGTGTGTGTGTGTGTGTGTGTGTGTGTGTGTGTGTGTGTGTGTGTGTGTGTGTGTGTGTGTGTGTGTGTGTGTGTGTGTGTGTGTGTGTAAGCCTTTTATACTTTTATTGTTAATACAGACTCCACAAGCACACGCTGCTGCATGGAAAACCATTAAAGTAAGATTTTTGTACTTTGATTTTAACCTTTAAAATATACATACATGTGTGTGTGTGTGTGTGTGTGTGTGTGTGTGTGTGTGTGTGTGTGTGTGTGTGTGTGTGTGTGTGTGTGTGTGTGTGTGTGTGTGTGTGTGTGTGTGTGTGTGTGTGTGTGTCTTTTATACTTTTATTGTTAATACAGACTCCACAAGCACACGCTGCTGCATGGAAAACCATTAAAGTAAGATTTTTGTACTTTGATTTTAACCTTTAAAATATACATACTATATATATATATATATTCTATCGAAAAACAAGAAGAATTCCACAATTGTTTTTTAATTCCATTAAAAAGCGGTACAATATTCATCTGAGATGCAATTTCCAGACCAAGACATCCATAATCAGAAGAATAAAACTCCCGGACAGACAAAAGAAACAAAAATAGTCTGATATTTTTCTCCTTGGACAAACATAATTATCAAAATATGATAATTCATGATCGATTTACTTGTAAGCTGCTGTGAGATCTTCGGTAAAGAAGCTTTTGACATTTAAACTGCAGAGGATGTTGAAAACTACATGGAAGAATTTATTGATTTATTGGCATCAAGTCATCACTTAGAAGGCTCCTACAATTAATTCCAACAAATCTAGAATTTATTACAGCTGGATGATGCTTGTAAGGTTACCTGAAATGGTTTCCTGATTTCCACTTGGGATTGACAGTTGGGGCTTTGCTTGTAAGGTTACGAGAAATGGCTCTAAGATTTTCAGGCTATCAATTAGGAATCTATGTTGATCATTTGTAGCTTGGAAGTAAGGTTATCAATTTGTAATTGATTAAGAGATTTAGTATGGATATCAATAGTTTGATGTTTTATTGGTATGCAGTTCATTTGAATAATTTCTTCTTCAATTTATGTTTTATAAAATGCCTATAAATCTCAACATACACAACTTTATCATGACGAATAATATTCTTAGCAATACTAATAGTAACTTGATTATCACACCTCATAATCAATAGTTATGTAATGCAAACTTCTTCACAATTTTTATTTGTCTTGGCCCCCTAAAATCTGCTCCACTACTATTCTGAGCAATAAATGTGCAGTTATCATATATGAATTTATGATGAGTTTAAATTTTGCCTAGTTAGCATTAGTGAAGATTTTGGTACTTACGTTAGTTTTTTTCTTATTCATGGCTCTTTTTAAGTTATATTTGTATTTCATATACAATATCGAAGTACTTCTTTGTAGGACTATTCATAAACTAACAAATAAGATTAACTGGAAAGCAAATATTAAGTTTAGTATGACATGGCCAGATAATTTTTCCTACTAAATTCTGTTTCCTTATTCTATCAATTCGGGTTGAATATGATTTAGTCCTAATTTTGTTTAATAGATCTATTTATGTGTTTGTAGGTTTATATCAAAGCATAATAGTTTCTTTTGGTAAGTCCAGCGTGTATTCTGTTATAAGATAGGTACCCCCTTGTTTAATCTTTCTATTTTTATGCGCAGAAAATAATTTAATGTGTCAAGCTTTATTATTTCAAATTTTTTAGCTAGGGCATTGGTAGCCTTGCTGATATCTTTTTCATGATTATCTATATGGCTGATATTATTAGTATATCCAATTAGGATAGAAATTTTAACTTCAATAAATTTATAATAAATAAAGCGTGGTTTGATTGTTCTTTATGCCATTCATGCTTTTTAATCAGTATGTTGAACCTATTGAACCAAGCTCTTGGTGATTGTTGTAAACCTTATGAAGTTTTCTTGACTTTGCAAACTTGGTTCATGTTGCTTTACTCTAAAATTTAGACGATATTGCCATATAGATTTTATCTTTTAATTCCCCATTTAGAAAAATATTTTTTCCTTAACATCTAGTTGATGGAGCGACCAATTTAAACCTTTAGAAAGAGAAAAAATTATACTGATGGTATATAGCTTAGCAATTTGGTCAAAGTTTTCTCCATAATTGATTCCATATTTTTGAATAAAAGCTTTTGCAACTAATCTTGCTTTGTGTCTGTCGACACTTTCATCAGCCTTGCATCACATTGAAGATTCCACTTACTATTTCTTTCAAGGGCCTGAATTTCTTCATGAACGATATTTCCATTGGGTGATTTTGAGGCGTTTTGAATATTGGAATTTTTATGTTGAAAGATTTGTAGTAAATGCATAAAGCTTTGGTGATTGTTTTTAAGACGAATTTTAATGATTGATGGGTATTTGAAGCAACTTCATAGGCTTTTGCTAAGAGTAGCAATGGGACTGCCTTAGATCATTCTCAGAATCGGTATCGCCTGTCTCCATAAAATGATGTTAGGACTCATGTCAAACATATGTTTAGTTTAAGAGAAATGCTTTTGTTCTATTTTGTTGGTTCAGTCATCCGGAAATACATTCCTTTGTAACTTGCTTGTGTGTGATCTTCAAAGTTTTTGGGGTATTTGAAAAAGTGGGACTAATATTATCATTAACTTCTATTCATATAGAGAGACGATTTTCTCTTCTTGGATGTGATTTTTTTGGGAAGAAGACTTAATTTTCGAAGAAGATTGCATACATGATGATGTATTATCTTTTAGTTAGAATGCCAATTACTTACAATGATGACCCATCAAATAATTTTTATAGTATGGTTTTTTAAACGCATTAAGAGTTTGAAATATGGAGGCATTTCCCATCAATGTTGCAATGTGATCCCAGGCCCTAGAGTCCATGAATCTAAATTGTGTATTTTTTATTTTGGACACTAAAGGCACTCAAGTCCATACTTTTTTGAGTAATTGCGTAGATGTATATTTTGGAGTCGAATGTTTTGGCTTGAGTAGGATAATCAACAAAACTTAGAGAAGGTTTCTTGGATACCCGTGTTGTCATTGGATCTTGATTAATGGAAGGGGGTGGCATTAGAGTAGCTTCTTATCAGGCTTGTTTCATGTCTAACTATCTTCATGGTTTAAACAAAAAACTTTTAAGGACTTGGGGGCCAGAATTAGAAACCTGAGAGGAAGTGGAAGATAGAGATGGATGGAGGATGTAGGATGTAGGATGTATTGCTTTTACTACATTATTTTTCCTCATTCCAACAGTTTGAAGGTGTACAATATTTATATGAATACAAGGTCTAAACTCTAAAGCAACGTGCATAGAATAGAAAGGATAAAAAAATAATTAGATGAGAAACAAAAAGAAAGAATTAAATGCAAAAAGAAAAGATATTATTGTCTTTTACATACAAAATTGTGATTATTAAAACATGGTAAATCATGATCTCTTGGTTGCAATACTAAACTCCTTAAATAAATGAAGTTGAACTCTTAAACATCGAGGCGCTTGTTGATGTAACTATTGAAATTTTATCAAGGACTCTAAAATTAACGTGCTCGTAGGGGCCAGTATTTGGATGGGTGATCTATGGCGAATGTAAACCAATGGGATAAACCTGTGGTGCCATTAGGCCAAAGCGGACAATATCTCAATGGCTAAGAGTTCAACTTCATTTTACTTAAAGAGATGCACAATTGACAAAAGTGGTATCAGAGCTATGATAGGACCTTTTGTAATGAAACTTGTATCATTTTTGGGTTGGAGAGGATGCTGATTGCTTCAAGGAAGACTTTTTTAATACTTGCAAGGTACTTGATTTTTGCCTGTGATTCACTGTTGGCCACTGCATGTGAGTTTACTTGAAATGGCTGAAAGATTTATACATTATCCCGCCTCAAAGTTGTATAATAGGATTTACCATGGTTACTATATGTTTGAATGCAGGATCTTTTCCGCAATTTTCAAAGTTAATACTAACTAGACTAGCTTACCCCCGTACCTTTAACACATGTGGTATATTATCCTAGAATTTCCTGGGACTTTCTTGTATGCTTCTTTACTAAAAATTGGTTTTTTTTTTCTATTTTCTATTTTTTCAAGAGTTTACCTTAAATTTTCTTCATTTTGATTTGGGGGGTTGTATTGATTTCAATTATTTAGTCATAGATTATGGCCTGAATTATTGTTATTTTTAGTCGTGAACTTCGCTATTTGTTTTCATGGAGCTATGAACATGTATAAAGTGCCTTTTTTGTGTGATTTTTAAAACTCAAGTGTTATTAGATGCTATTTGAAGTGCTATGTTACCTCCGTTTTAACAGTGAATTTTTACCTATTTATCTACATCTTCCTTGCACCGGAATGTTGGACTCTCAATGCTTTTTTTTTCTTGCGATACACACAGATTCCTACTTTTTATTTATTTATTTATTTTTGTTTTATATATTTCCTCCATCTAATTAGTTGGTCATATCCTAGTTATAGAGATTTATTAAGCCAATCCCTACATGTCGATAACTATGTTTTGGGTTGAGGCCAGCATGATTAATCTGATGAATTTTCTGCAAATTCCTTGTGTACTAGCATTTACAGTGATTTTAAGTTTTTTTAATTTTTTAATCTTTTTGGAAATTAAATATCTAACTTGTGGGCATAGCTAACATTCACTGATGTTCAGGGTTGTTCATGCATTTTGGTTCCTGGTGGATTTGGCGACCGTGGAGTTCCTGGAATGATATTGGCTGCTAAATATGCTAGGGAGAACAAAGTTCCATATCTTGGGATTTGTTTAGGGATGCAGATTTCGGTTATTGAATTTTCTAGACATGTATGTATACTGGTCTGTTACTACTTGGGCATTTATAGACATAGCAGTATATACCACTCAATTCCTATGTAAATACGTATCAAAACATACCAGTATATACCACTCAATTCCTATGTAAATACGTATCAAACACCTAAACATTACTTTTTACATTCATGCCATCCAGTTTTTCATATTACATTATAAATACCACTATTTTGACTTTTAACAAGCAAATAGCCGATACAATACAGCTTTTCATGCATTGGTAAGGTGCCATATGTGTAAATATTGAAGTTTAGGTGTTAGATATGTAAACACATAGGAATTAAGTGGTATATATGTAAATCTTCCTAATTATTTTCACTTTGTTTTTATTATATTTGCATAGCCCATCTCTCTTCTCCTTCCTCTCTATGTTCACTCTTTAACATTTGTTTGAAGTTTTGTAGGTTTTGGGGTTGGAGAGAGCAAATAGTGAGGAATTTGATCCTGAGACTCCACACCCTGTTGTAATTTTCATGCCTGAGGTATTTAATTAAATATTAATAACTAATTTATAAAGAGTGAGAAATTAGAGAAAGAGAGAAATTAGTATAAACTATGATGTTTGAAAACAGGGTTCAAGAACTCACATGGGAAGCACAATGAGACTGGGTTCACGGAGAACATTCTTTCAAGATTTGAATTGTACCTCTTCAAAGCTGTATGTTTTGGATGGATTTATCTTTCGGGCATTTACATGCATACCATTCAGTTCCTTTTTATTTACATATCTAACACCTAAACTCTGTTTTTTGCCATTTATACCACCCAAATCTTTCATATCACATCAATAATATCACCATTTTTACTTTTAAAAAGAAATACACTTTCATGCATCGGTAAGGTGGTATGTATGTATAAATTGAAGTTTAAATGTTAGATATATAAATACATAGGATTTAAGTGGTGTGTGTTTAAATCTTTCCTTTTTCTTTTCTTCCTTTTTTTAATAATTTGTATGAAGTATGACTAAACTTTTTTCTGATAATTTTTAGATATGGAAACTCTTCATTTGTAGATGAGCGCCATCGACACAGATATGAGGTTGGCCTTTCTATAGTTCGCTTGTCTATTTCATTTTGTTAAGCTATTACAATATAGAAAGAAAGACATGGGTGCCATCTCTTCATTTGTATCGTGTGTGCACAGATTTGGGGTAGCTTTCTATAATAGTAGTTATATAATTATTGTGAGAAAAGCCGATATTTAAAAGCTTATATGGAAATATCACACAATTCTTATGCATTTACATACCTAACTCCTGAAATTTCATATTTACTTGCATGGCCTTTCAACATCTTTAACATCACATAAAAAATATTACTATCACTAACTTTTGTAAAGTAAAATACACATTTTCATGCATATATTTATAACATAAATGTGCGATAAATATGTATATCGAACATTAGGTGTTAGATCTGTAAATACATTGAAATTGTGTGGTATCTATGTAAATCCCCTCTTGAATTTTACCTTGAAAAAATTAGACTTTAGTTTTCTTATAGCTACAACCCTCTTATACAACACTCTTATAATTTAAAATCTCCTTACCACAATTTTTTAAAACAAAACAAATGAAGTCGTTGGAAGACAAGGGCATCTTTTTTTGTTTATTTTGTTTCTTGCTGAGTGCATGTAACTATTCCTCTTGAGGAGAACCACTTATTGCATTTGATAGAAATGTATTCATTCCCTGATCTTCTATCTGCCATTAATATTTTGTGGACTAACCACATTAAAAATTTAGGGTCCGATACCTCGACTTAATTTCAGTTAGAATGAATTTAATAAACGTTTGGTTTATAATTGGAGATGAGAGATATATAAATTTTAAATTTATTTATGGACAATTCTTATCTAAGACATGAGCATTCATATTTACATACATACCACCAAAATCTTGAAAATCACATCAATAATACCATTATCACTATCTTTTTAAAAATGAAATACACTTTTTCTTGAAATATATTTTTTCATGTGTAAGTTTATGATACGGTGTTATTGAGTGTTATGTTAAATTTTGGGTGTTAGATATATAAATGCTTAAGTATTGTGTGTACATACCAACGTGTTAGATATGCATGTAAATTTTCCTTTTTTATATATCGTACTCATATTATGAGAAAAACGATATATCTATCAGGGGCCAAATTTTCTTCCTAACCACAATGCACTAGTAAAACAAATGTTGACACTGTTTTAGGTCAATCCCGATTTTGTGGAAACACTGGAAAGTGCCGGTTTAAAATTTGTGGGAAGTGATGAAACCGGAAAGAGAATGGAGGTAACTGTGCATCTAATAATTCAATTCAGATTACAGTAATTTTGTTCCGTCGAAAAAATCACATTTTCTCAAATTTTTTCCTTGATTAAAGCAGGTTCTGGAGCTACCAAATCATCCCTACTACATTGGTGTTCAGTTCCATCCTGAATTCAAATCAAGACCTGGGAAGCCTTCTGCCTTATTTTTAGGTAATATATGCTGTTATTTCCTTATTGACATACATACCTCACAATTCTCATGTATTTGCATATTTAATTCCAAAACTTTAATTTTCATATTTATAGCACTCAAATCTTTCATAGCACATCAAAGATATCACTATTACTGACTTCAAATAAGTGAAATATATCTTTTCAAGCATAGGTAGTGGTATAAATGTAAAAAAATTAATGTTTAGGCGTTAGATATGCCAATACATAAGAATGTGGTATGCATGTAAATCTTCCTTTTATTTATAGTGGATTAACTTTTAGTTTGAATCATTAATTGTTTTTTCGTGCCTTTCAGGGCTTGTATTGGCTGCTACAGGAAAATTGCAAGCTCTTCTGAACAAAGCGTAGTGATAATATTCTTTAAAACTGTTGCTGAGTTTAGTTTGCTTATTTCAGGTATAGGAATGTAAATTCAGAGCATGTTTTTCAGCATATATATATAATATTATATATAATATTATGATTTTATTTGAGGTTGTTTGATGTGGGATTTTTGAGCGTAAAGTTAATTTTAATTTTTAATTAGATTCAAACAAATTATGAATATAGAATTTTTTTTTAAATTATGCTTTATATCTTCTTTCAACAAAAAATTTCTTAAATTTGTTTTACTCAATTTTTTTTTTTCACTGTAAGCTGCAGGGAAGGCTAACCGCCCCCAAAACAGGCACCAGAAAACGGCTTTTTTGTGAAAGCAACGGTGGGAACATCGGTATTCTTTGATGCTTAGAACCTCTTTTTATTGTTGTATACTCATCTTCTCTATAGTAAAGAATCCCAGAATGTTTATATAATATTTTCTGCTTCATTCCAGTAGCAGGCATGCTTTTTTAATTTTAAATAAATTATAGCCTGCATGGCAATCAAATAACTTTTGCAATTAGGGGTTTTATTAGTACAAATTTTCTTCTATTTCATAATTAGCTTGAATTTGGCTTTTATATAAAGAAGTTTTTTTTTAATATTTTTCTTGGGCTTATTGTATCAACTTTAATAATTATGCATTTTTCATAGAATTGTGAACTCAAAGTCGGGATCGTATAGAATGTGTGATGGGGCTGTCAAAAAAACCCGCTAACTTCTGTTTGGCTCGCTAAAGAGTATATGTTCGGTTAGACAAGCGAGTCGAACACTAACAATTTTTTTTAGCTCTATTTATAAATGATCCAAATACTAAACTTTTACTTAGTTACACATTTTTATAGAATTGCGAACTCAAAGTCAGGATCATATAGAATGCAGGATAGGGCTGTGAAAAAAACTCGTCGTCCGTGAACAACTTGTGTTTGACTCGCTAAATAGTTCATGTTCGATTCATTTCTTTGACAAGCAAGTGGGACACTAACAATTTTTGTGTTTGATTTATAAATTATCCAAATATGAACAAATTTATTGCTTAATCGTGTTTTGCTTGTTTTGATTTGAATTAATTAAATAAATGATATTTATTATTAATTATTTAAATTTTAGTATATTTGCATAAGTTATTAATTATTTTTTTTTATTTTTTTTTTATTTTTTTTCGTTGGGTTTGAGTTTGGTTTTGGGGTTGGGGTTGGGGTTGGGGCTGGGGCTGCAGCTGCAGCTGCGGGCCACATTTAGGTCAACATTTAGGAAAAGTTGATCTGTGGCGTTTGTAGGAACCATTGGATGACATGCCATTGTCGGGAATCCACCTCATGTTCTCTTAAATCTAATTTTTTCTCGTTTTTCCTTATGTTGTTTTGCTGTAATGCTTTCTACTTTACTTTCTATGGCTCGAGTCCGGGGAGTTTTATAAATATTCTGCTCTTGGTGTCTTACTTCTTAGTCGCTGGTCTACTTTCTTCTCTTCTCGAATCTTAATTACATTATTTCTTTCACTCTGTCTAATATATGTGTGATTGTGTTACACAGGCTTAAGCTAAGTTCAATTTTATTTTTTTATTAGCCTAAGAGCAATTTAGCCTTTTATTACTTATTATTGTTACAGTATAAATATGACTAATATGTTTAGGGTTAGTGAGATGCATGAGTTGTGTGCTCGTGAGTTTTAGGGTTAGAATTTTGGAGAGACTTCCTGCCTCTCAAATGGTAGGAAATATTTCAAGATGTATTCATATTTAGTTTTTTAGTGTTCAAGAAATAAAATTTTTATTAGCCCTAATGTTGGTGTGGAAATATTTCAAGAACGACAGAATCGGCTTGAGATTCAATCATGACTTGACCTAGCTTGATGCCAATGACGTGATCAACGTGTACAAACGTGACTGAACCTCTTGATACATTGTGTGATTGGAGTTTGCTGGGAGGATTGACGTGATCACATCATATGTGAGCTGCTTTTGTGACCTAACGATGATTTTGGCGACCTCGGAAGAGAAGATGGGATCACACTATAGTAGAGGGTGAATTGATGTGGCAAGGGTTAACACATACGCATCGAGGGCATCACAATATATAGGCCTTCGTGACTGAAGCCTTGCATCGCAGTTGGAGTTAGCGGGGAAGCAATGCGGGATTGCGATCTCCTTCATGATTGCATATCGTGATACAATCATGATTATATCTGGCTGAGGAAGGCTGCCTGGGATCATGGCGAATAGAGATCTAAAACTCTCATTTTTCTTATGTTCCAAATTGGGTGTCCAATGGGAGCTAGTCAAATCAAATCGGACCAGCGATGCAATGACGCGCGACGACTTACTATCTTATTGTACATATGTTATGTAGACTATCTAAAAATCATAGACGACATTTCAACTTACAAAAGTTCCATCTTTTGTTATTGAAAACTTTCTGCGGAATAATTTTGGCCAAGAAAGTAGATGATTTGGAAAAATAATTAGAGGAAGAGATAATTCAACTTAAATCTGGGATATATGAAATGTTTACAACCATTGATGAAAAAATATTCATCCATTGAAAATCGATTCAAGTGCTTGGAAGAGATGATGAGATGCAATCCAAAACCTTGCTGACGTTTTAGTTTGCAAAATCTAACCAACGGTTGACTGGAGATTCATTGGGAAAGCTTTGACCATAAAGAATCTCCTCTCAAGGCACTGATGGATGGTGTAATAGAGATTTTTGAGGGAGTTAATTGGGCTGAAAAATGGAGGAGTTATGCAAGGGATATGGAGGAGCATGAAGAAGAAAGAAGTCAGGATGAGGTATGGCTATGATCGAATGAGGGATTTTTTTTTTCTTGATAAATGGGGGAAAACAATGAAGGGAGAGGAAGTTGGTGTGAAGATGTGAGGGTTAGAAAGTTGAAGATGTCATTTTTTGGAGCGATTATTGCGTGCGGAGAGCGCACGCGGAGCTGCGTGCGCTCTCCGATCACAACCGCACATCGCGACTGTATGACAGACTAAATTGCAGAGTTGCGTGCGCTCTTCGTACCTAATAATTAGACCAATTTTTGATGGGGAAGGCACACATGGGTGGGTGTATCGGGTGGAACAATATTTTACGATGTGGGCTACATGTGAGGAGAGGGTCATGATGGGGGGCGCTAGTGCTAGCGTAGTTTTAGTAGAGAGGTGGGATAGATACTCGATCCGCTTGTACGAAGAATTTGAAAATTAAGGAGACCCACACAAGCAAATCTTTGCATCGACTCATGAAGGGACTGTAATAAAGTATATGGAGAGATTTGAGTTATTGTCGGGACGACAAAGGGAGATTTTTGAAGCAGTATTAGAGGGGATTTTCATGAAGGGTCTAAAACTTGACATACGTGCAGAACTCTCTGTTGAGACCGCACGGGGATTTAGGGTTGACGATAGAGCTAGCCCAGATGGTGGAGGACAAGAACCTTATGGGGAAGACCAATAGAAGTAGCACCATGGGAGAATTGCACAAGAGTACCTCAGCGACTACGAGGCTGAGGACCCATACAGGAGCTAACAAATGGTGGAGGACAAGTAACATATGGGGAAGGCTAGCAAAAGTAGCTCTAAGGGAGAATTGCACAAGAGTACCTTGACGACTATGACACCGAGGACCCATGCAATGTCATTTTATGGGAAGGCGCCGAAGGATAAGAATATGGGAGTCCGTCCCGTGAACTTCAAGCTCCTTACAGAGGCAGATTTTGGAGAAGCGAACAAATGTGTTATGTTTTTTGTGTGATGAAAAGTTTGCCCCATGACACCGTTGCGAGGATCCGACATTAAAGTTTCTCACAGTGTGCGATAATGAGACAATTGAGCATGATCCAACATGAATTTTCTTTTATCCACCCCGAGGATGATATGTCTTTTTGGGAGGGGACTATTGTTATGTTGACCTACTCTTAGGGCAATTTAGTCTTTTGTTATTTATTAATGTTTAATATAAATAGGGCTAGTACTTTTAATATTAGGGGGATGCATTAGATTGTGGTTGCGAGTCTTAGGGTTGGGTTTGAGACAGACTTCCTACCTCTCGAATAGTAGGATTTGGGAGATATCGCCAATCTTTCAAATTATAGGTGCTTATCTTTAATTTATCCATTTTAACTTTTTTGGTGTTCCAAAAATAAAATGTTTATTGCCCCAAATTTCTGTGGAAATTTGCCAAGAATCGTGTCCAATTGATGATAATATTTAGCGGATAAATGTATTGATTTTCTATGATTTGGCTAGCATATTGCATCATTTGGTATCATAACTAAGAAACCCTAACTATTTATGTGTTTTGTTTTGTCGGCGAGCCTGATATGATTGATACATTGCTGCTTCGTTGGCTATATGTACTTGTTATATATTTAAAAATCTGCATACTCTAAATAAAAAATGCATCGATATATTTTTTTTCTCTGAGGTTCTTTTATGTTCTTGTGATGGGTGCTCTCTAATATTTGCATGCTTGCACCCAGTGTGAGCTTTTTCTTATATTAATTACTCTTTCACGATTGAATATGTTGTATCTGTATGATTTGGCAGTTTGTCTCCTGCGTTACTGTTTTTGCATCATATGACATTGTTAATTGTAAATCTTATAGCTGTTTATGCTTTTTAGTTTTTGGAAGCAATAAATTGCATAATTCAGAGTTGCCTACAGTTTGGCTCTTAGTATTTAATAACCCACGATTGGTTTTATCATTGTTGTGTTGATTGTTGAAAGTGTGGATATTTTATTGGCTTATTGGGAGGATCTTAACAGGTAACAAATGATTTATTTGTTATGTTCTATTTAGTGTGTTGTCTTGTCAATATCATATCTTTCTCAAATAGCATTATTTACTGGTGGAACTTTAAATGAGAAATGAAAATTCAAATAATATTTTTAGAAGTATCTTCAAACTTGTTCCTAAGCTCAATTGAAGGTGCAGATGAGCTTCTAGAGCTTATAGAAGGTTATATGAGTCATCAATTGCAATCCTATGATACTGCACAAGAATGTGATTTACTTAATTTTAGTTTTTGTTGTTAATCAAGATAAGTATTTTCCTTGTCTTTGTCAATAGCATGGAAAATCTTATCTCTTGCTTTTATTAGCTACATGCCTGTCATAATCATTTCAAATTATTCATAAAATTAAATCAGACATTAAAAGATTATTATTCTTTAAGTATTTTAAATGTATATATATATATATATATATTCAAAGACTTACTTGATTTATCTTAATTGTTCCTGGTGTGGATTTCATTATTTATGGCCACAATAGATCTAAAAAATTTTCTAAATGATGAGATACAACATTCAAAGATTAATATTATTTATCTTTTATCATAGAATAAATCTAATCCCTTGGATGATGAAAATCTTCGTGATTTATGAATTTGCGAAAATAGGATTTTTCTGTCAACTTATTGGTGAAAGAAAATATTTATTTTACACGAGAAGGCTTTTTTAGAGTAAATCAAATATCAAGATTTACTCCTGAGAATTCTCTCGATTAAAATTATGCTTTATATCTCTCATGTTTATCAGTTCATGTTTGTGACTTGATATATATTTAAAGATTTAAATGAAAGATATGTCTAGATAGATGCTGACTTCATTTGGGCCGAGGAATTTGAGTTTGTAAAGTTTATTTTTAGCAGTTGAAGTTCAATTTAAGTTAAATTTTGAAAATGTTATTTAAAATTTTAAAATTGATTTGATGAAAAAATTTGAGTTTTGTGAAGTTAATCTGTTAAATTTCTTAGGTTTATTTTAATTTATCTTTAAAATTGATTTAAAACTCTTTAAAATTCATTTAATAATGAAAGATTATTTACTAGAGTAAATTAAAATTATTTAGATGATTACTGAGTTGAATACTCAGTTCATGATTGTTCAGCATATATTCCTCAATGGATTATTAGAAGTCTTAAATTCAAACTATAAGAGGACATCTAGAAGCCCATTTTGGAAACTACCAAATAAAGGTATATAAAGCTATATAAGTTTGAGAAAGATTAATTAGTATATATTAATGATATACATAAAGTTTTATTGACTTATGATTTTTTGACCTTAAATTAGATAATAAAATATATATGTCTAACTGCTCATTTTATAGATGAATTTTTAAATTTGTAAAAGATAATCACAAATTTTATTGAGTTTGAACCACTTTATGGTGATACATGCATGTGTAATGTTATATATGATTGCTTGTTAGATTTAAATTTTTAAGATAAGTTGTATACCATCATTAATAATACTAGCAATATTGATGTTGCAATTAATTTTCTTAAAGATATTTTCAGTCAAGAGAGAAGTTTTATTTTCATGACCATTCTTTCACGCTAGATATTATTTGTGTATCGTTGAGCTTGTTGGCTTAAGATGGTTTAAAAATTATTTGCGACTTAAATTTAATTAGAGAGTCAGTCAAATATCTCAAAAATCACCAACATGACCATAAGTTTGTGTAATCGTCTAAGCAAGTAGAGTTGAGAGTCCGTTAAACATGACCATAAGTTGGTGTAGTCGTCTAAGCAAATAGAGTTCAAGTAGAGTTGAGAGTCCGTCAAACATGACCAAAAGTTTTTGTAGTCGTCTAAGCAAGTAGAGTTGAAAGTCCAAGTAGAGTTGAGAGTCCGTCAAATATCTCAAAAATCACCAACATGACCATAAGTTTGTGCAGTCGTCTAAGCAAGTAGAAATTTATATGTCAAAAAGTTTGTTTATTGATATGCCAATAACCCTCTTTATTTAATGGTTGAGTTTGCCTTTTATTTATTGCAATGCATCCAATCATTATACAATTCAAAATAGCAATTCCATGTGATCACTATTTAAACCAAGATTGGGAGAAGCATGAGAAAAATTAGAAAATTTCTTGTAGCCTTTTGCGTTGTGACAATTGATTTCTAGCTTGTGTTATCCAACAATAAATATATTATACTGCCCGAAAAGCAATTCTTAGTCATGCTGAAATGATCTTATTTTATTTAACGCTTGATTTCTTCAAGATGTATTTTCAATCCGTAACGATGAAAATGTTTATGAACACCGATGTAAATATTTTATTTTGGTAAGATTTAAATGCATATACTCAATTAGTATGCATTTTTATCTCTAATGCCTCAATTTCATTTTTCACAAGAAGTGAATTTTTAATTTTGAAAAATTAAAATGTTGGCCTTCTTGATGTGGCATGAAAGATTTGAGATATAAATGTAAATATTTTGGATATTAGGTAAGTAAAGTATGGCACCTAAAGTGTCATGTACAAATTCTTGTGTCCCCACGAGGAACGAAGTGAGTCACTGGGTACTATGATTACCGAGCAATGAGAGGATTTTTACATATCCAATAAGGCTACAAAGATTTATAATCAATTAAAATATTAATTAAGAAAATAAAATAAAAATTATTAAATTAGATTCAAATAATGTTTTAATATAAATAATAATTTTTAAATTTTGCTCAAAATCTTATTGTCATATGGCTACATGATTAAGGTTGTTAAAAGGACTCTTTGTTCGTGACGTATTCGGCTCGTTAAGCAAACAAGCCGAACACGAAAACACTTTTTGAGCTCGAAGTATAAACGAGCCGAACACAAGCAGAGCACGAACACCAAAACATCCACTCGTGTTCGGCTCGTTTACACCCCTAGCCGGAACAGCTAAAATAACATTATTCTAACTTATAAAAACTGACATGCACCTTTTTTCAAATATAGCTAAGGTGGCATGTATATAAAAAATGATGTTTTGGTGTTAGTTGTGTAAATGCATAACATGTGGTATGTATGTAAATCTTCCATTTATTTAATAAGCAAGCGGATGGACCTCATAGCGCTCATTAAATAGCAAAATCAGCCGTCGGCTATCAAACCCTAAATCTATCAAATTAATGAATCAGATCAATATCATCTAACAACTTCAATGAGAATTGCATGTAGAATTTCATTCAAATGAATCTCTTTACATATTTTCAGTTAAAATAAATCAGTCACATATTTGAAGCATTGAATTATTACGTTCTAAAAAAAAAAAAACAATTCAATTAAATAAATCCTGAACAAGTTACAGCCATTCTAATAAGTCACAAAATAGCTTATATCTAGTATGGCAATTTATTTACAATCATATTTATCAGAATTAAAATTCATTTTACAAAAAAACCACCTAAATAATTCTTTTTTACTGGCATAACTATTTGATGCATGAGAGTTAAACTTCTATTAGTAGTAGTAATAGCAACAAATCTAGTTCTTCGACCCCGACTCTCCGTCCGAATGCAAACCAGTTTTGTTTTGATAAAACTTAATAATTACAGAACAAACCTTGGACAATTTCTTTTTTTTATAAAAAAATATGGTCGAGAATGTCAAAATATAAGGTGCATACAAGCAAGATATTAGGCCTGTAATAATGCACAACGATCTTAAAATCATTCTTCGAGCATGCACTGAAAACATAGCTACACATTACCAGTAATGTGGGAGATTTGGATATTGGATTTTTGGGGCATTTACATACATGACACCCAATTCCTACATATTTACATATTTGACCTATACTTCTTTTACATCTATACCACCCAAATCTCTCATACCACATAAAAAAATACCACTATTTTAACTCAAATTAATGAAATTCTCATGCACATGTTAACACGGCATAAATATAAAAATTGAAATTTAGGTGTTAAGAGAGAGAACATAGAAATCTGAGTGGTATGTATGCACATCTGCCTAGAAATTTAGCAAGTAGGTCACAACAATATCAAAAATTGCAAATTAAGCACATAATATCACAAGACAATAAAACTGTTGTAAAAGTATAATGCGAGAGAACATAATGACATTGGACGTACCTATAGCACAAAGGTTAGTTATTAGATAGGAGCATTAGAGCTTCGCATGGCTGCTGCAGCTTCGGCCATAGCTTTCTTGCGCGCTTCCCTCATTTCCTTTCTCCGCGCCTCCCTTGCGGCAATGTCAGCTCGCAATTTATCAATCACCAAATCAAATCCAGGGACGGTGCGCTCCAGCTTGTTGCACACTCTGACGCTCAGCTTTCTAAAGATCCTCATCATTCTCTGCACCAAACAATCCACAAATGTTGTAGGGTTTAATCTCTGAAAAATTCGGTCAAAGCTGAAAAATTGAACGGAAGCTCATAAATTTAATTGATTCATTTTGGTTTCAAAAATACATTTCGGTTTACTATTTTCAAAATTTTAATATTCAATTTTGGGTTAAGAAAATTAAAAAACTAAAAATTTAAAATTGAATGGAGGATTCATGAAATTAAATTGGATATATACATGTAAGATATTTAATTCTTTATGTTTGTTCATAAATGAAATCTAATTATTTTAATTTGGGATAATTTATTTTTAAATATTTTAAATAATATTCTAAATCAAAATTTTCAAGCATAAGGTTTTAGCTTTTTGTAAGATGTGAACATTATAAAGAAATTAAAGGAATTCCGGCATTTGTTTATGGTCATGATAGGCCAAAATTGTATCCACATATTCTTTTATTTCCATTAGTTTTACAACCCAAACGAAAACTTGAAAGGGCAAAGTGCCAAAAGTCCTGTAAATGCCTACATGTGGTCATTTTAGTCCTAGAGCTTATAAAAGTGTCAGATTAGTCCCAGGAACTTTAAATTGGAGCCGAAATACTCTTCCGCGATGATTATTTTAGTCCATATTAAAAAATTCTTGGGAATAAATTGATATTTCATCATCTCTAGGACTAAAATAACCCCCTACAAAGAGTCAGGGGACTACTATGACACTTTTCTCAAACATTAACTAAATGATGCAAAAACTAGATAATTTATCAACACAATGTACAAATAGACCAGAAAAAAAAGTAATAAAAGCATGTAGGATATAAGGAATGGAAGAGAGCACCTTTACTTCTCTGTTCCATTCTCTGACATATGGAGGACCTGTAGCATAGGAGCCTAGAGGTTCACGGTACCATTCTCCATTATAAGTTATGGTATCCATGGCTTGTTCCACGCTTAGAACCTCCCAAGGTCTTAAGCCTGGAATAACTTTTGCAAGCCGATTCCTGCGACATTAAAAAACTCATAAGACAGTTGGGTGATTTACATACATGCTACACAATTCGTATGTATTTACATATCAAACTCCTAAACATTCATATTTACATGCATAGCACTGAGATGTTTAACTTCACGTCATAAATATCACCATCACTATCATTTTAGAAGTGAAATGCACATTTTAACGCATATATTTATGATGCCAAAATGTTATAAGTGTAAATATCAAACTTTGGGTTTTAGATATGTAGATACATAAAAAATGTAGTATGTAAATTTCCCAGTATCTTTTTTATTAATTAATGTTGACTGAAAATGGAAAATATAATATGATTAACATCAATACATCCCAAAAAAACTCTGTTCCGTGTGTATCTGTTTAAATAACTGCAAATTCAATTATGTTTATATTTAGTTTACTAAATTTAGCTCTCATAGTAAGCCAATTAAAAAGGACAAGCCTCATATAATATGTAAGAGATGAATAATCAAAATGTGAGAAAAGAAATGAAAATCCTAATGAAATTTGGAAGTATATTGATATGTTCCAAGTACCATCATTTTTGCCACGACCCGACCTGGGGTTTGGATTAACCAAGGTGGGTACAAAAAAATCGAACGGTGTGAATTAAATTTTCTATATTAACTTAAAATTTAATAGATGAATAAGAGTCACTAGTGTCAGTTTTGAGGAAAATAGACTGAATTATGAATAGGCTCGATGTCTATTCTCTTTGCTTTCATTCCATTAAATAATAATCTTACAATCTATTTTAGGTACAAAATATTTTGTATAATCTATTTTAGGTAACTTAATAATACATATTCCTAATCTAAATATTCAACTAAAAGGGAAATAAATCGTAATAAAGATATTGAAAATAATTTAAGTAAGGAAGCTCCTAATTATAGAAAACTCCTAATTTAACTGTCTAATTTTCGTTTTTCCTGATTGACATCCCTCTCAAATTGATGGTGACTGCCAACAAGAAACTGATAACACTACCGGGACCAAAAAATCCTCAAGTCGTGAGTGTCGAAGTCGTGAATGTCAAAGCCTCAAAGACAAATCCTGAACCATAACATGATTTGAGCAAACAAAAGCAAGAAATCATGTATCATTGTCATCCAAAAATTTGAATCATAGCCACAACAAGGATCCGCTTCCAGTTACATGATTCAAATGCTACCGATCATAGCTCACAAATAGGATCCAGTTACACGATCCAAATGCTATCGATTATAGCCCACAAGTAGAATTCATGTCCTGATCCAAATGCTACAGATCATAGCTCATAAATAGGATCCAGTTACACGATTTTGATGCTATCGGTCATAGCCTACAAGAAGGATCTACGTCCTAATCCAAATGCTACCGATCATAGCCCACAAATAGGATCCAGTTACACGATCCAGATGTTATCGATCATAGCCTAAAACTAGGATCCGTGTCGTCCTGATTCCTGATCCAAATGCCACCGATCATAGCCCACAAATAGGATCTAGTTACACGATCCAGATGCCATCGATCATAGCCTACAAGTAGGATATGTGTCATGATCCAAATGTTACTGATCATAGCCCACAAGTAGGATCGGCGTTCTATTATAAGATCCAAAAGCTATTGATTCTTCCTGCGACGACGAGGACAATTTGTTCTCTGATTCTCACGCCAAAGTGTTGAAGCCGAGATATCGAAGTCATGGGTCTAGGAAGGAATGTCGAAGCCTTCAATCCTTGGGTGCGACGAAGAAGCAAAGTCAAAGCGGACGAAGCCGAAGCGGAAGAAGCAGTCGAAGATGCGCAGAAGCAGGGATGGCTAGCGAAAGATATCCGAAGAGGACAAAGCAAACAAACTGAACGAAATCGCAGATTGCAGATGAAACTTGAATTGCAGACGAGATAACAAATGGACAGGATCCCAGATCACAAGTGGAATCAAACGCGGGTGACGAAAACAGACGCGGGAGATGGAAGAAGGCGAATCGAAGGCAGACGAAGCAGTTGCAGCGGATGAAAATCTTAGATGGGCGAATCAAGGCAAAGAAATAGTTCCTACCTTCCAGCAAGAAAGTCGGCGGGAAGGGAGCCTTGACGGTCCTCCAATAACTACTGGTGGTTTAGGGAAAATTTTGGCTATGATACCATGTCAAAATTTTGGGAAAAATAGGTTGAATTCTGAATAGGCTCGATGTCTTTTCCCTTTGCTTTCATTCCATTAAATAATAGTCTTACAATCTATTTTAGGTATAAAATATTTTGTATAATCTATTTTAAGTAACTTAATAATACATACTTTTAATCTAAATATTCAGCTAAAAGGGAAATAAATCATACTAAAGATATTGAAAATAATTTAAATAATGAAGTTTCTAATTATAAAACACTCCTAATTTAGCTGCCTAATTTCGGTCATTCCTGATTGACAACTACAAATTAAGTTATAGAGGTACAATTAAAATTGTCTCGTTACTGATTGCCCGCATCGTCTATAAATATTTTCTCGTTTATCACTCATCTTTTAATAATTTAATTAAATCTGAAAATTCAGTTAAAACAACTGTGAGCTAAACGAGTCAGTGAATACTCATACTCTTAAACTACAACAATAAAAAAAAGAAAAAAAAAACAATTTGCATGTTTAACTTCTTTGAAAATTAATATAAACATTTAACAATGTTATTAAAAGGGTCTATATTAATATCATTTCAATATTATTTTATATTTATACAACCATCACAGAAGACACTGTTTAAAAATTATACCACTTAAGGTATTTTAATATTAATATCCTTTCTCATTTACTTGCACGGGTATATTAGTGTTCCCCCACTAGTACCATCAAGGAGTGTTCCATTATAGCCAAACGTTTCTTTTATAACAGACATGTGTAGTAAATAAGTATAAGTATGCAAGTCATTCACATTCACTTCTAGATGTTCAAATTGAATAATAAGACAGAATAATCATATTCTAGTTGCAGTAACAAGATATCGTGACTAATGTGAGTGATTTAGAAGAATTATTACTATAATTTAGAATAAAAAAATATTCACATGGACGACACGTAATTTGCTATTGGTCTTGACGTCGATTTTCTAAAAATTGAAAGCCTAATATGGTATTCGTGTTATTAAAAAATTAATTTACATACAAATATAATAATTTATTATTTCAATTAGCTATTTAAGTACAAATTTATATACAAATTTAACCCTAAACCCTAAACCCTGGGCATATTGTATAAAAATGATCTTAATTTAATAGAATTAAATGAAAATACGATGCTCAAAAAGGATTATGTAGCCGACCCCACTTAATGGGATAAAGGCTTGATGTTGTTGTTGTTGAGTGTACAATATAATCACAGCAACTATGTACATTGAATGACAGTTCTCCATTCTTAAACCCATTTCTACAAAAACCACCAAAATATTTCTAAGCAAGTTAATGCAAGAAACAAGAAACCAAGAGAATGCATGCTGAAGTCATTCATAAAAGTCGGATTTGCAAGATATAAGTTCCTATCAACGCTCTTTATAGAAGTGGAGAGAGGAAGTTAAAGATTGCATGCGCAGCCCACGGTCTGATAATTTGAGCACACCTATGTAAAAAATGATGCCCACAAACTAGTCTAAACACTTGAAAATGAAAATATTTCTTCTTTCTGGAGGATGTATCATATGCTATGAGGTGTCAAATGTTGTTTGCAGGTTGAGTTCAGATTTGACCTGATGTTTACCCGAACTGAAATTATTTAACCCAAACTCAACTCGAATATTAAATGTGTCCGAAAGTCCGACCAAGCTGACATATCTTCAACCCACTAACCCAAACCCGACCTTATAACCCTTTTAGCATAAAACATAACAATTATTATGATCAATTTCATTTCAATTTTGAGTCAATCTAAGGTCAATTTTGAGTTCACGGGTCAGTTTCAGGTCAATTTTGAGGTGGTGTGTTAACACGAACCCAACTCAAAAAATTATTCAAGTCAACCCGAACCTGGATTTTAAAAGTTGGGGTTTGGATCGAGTTAGTGTATCATGTCAATTTTTGACATATCTATCATTCGATCTTCATTTTAGCCAAGTATTATAAAGTTGCACTTTAGAACTAGATTTCCTCAGGGGTAAAAGAAAGGGGGAAAAATGAAATTTTAAAAAATATCTAAGGACTCAGAAAACAGACAAACCTTAGCTCTTTGGACACATATTTGTTTGGCATGTGATCTGCTTCCAGAATTGTTGTGAGTTCAGAGCCGCTGGCCCAAAGAAAGAGAGCATGGCTAGGAGTTCTAACCCCAGGCCAGACGCCACCATTTGCCTCAAGTACAGCCATATCCCTTCTCTTGCTCTCTAGTGCTTCTTCCTGTAATTGTTTGTAGGTTTTCTTTTCGAATCCTTTAAGCGGAGTCCATGGAGACATGCCTTTCTGAAGTTTGTGAAGGAAAGCAGTTGCAGCTGCACCTAGTCTTACTGCCAGCACAATAAAATGAAAAAAGTTTAGGGGAAATTTACATGCATACCACATGATTCTTATGTAGTTACGTATCTAAAACCCAAACTTTGATAGTTAAAATCATCACACCTTGTCATAAAGCTGCATGAAATGGTGTATTTCACTTTTTACAAAGATAGTGATTGTGGTATTTTTGATGTGATATTAAACATTTGAATGGTGTGCGTGTAAATATTAAAGTTCGGTGTTAGATATGTAAATGCATAAGCATTGCGTGGTATGTATGTAAATACTACTTTTAAGAATTATGTGGTCTTCTATTGACCATGGTAAAAATGATATTATCAAGATGAATGAATATCAAAATTATAAAGGTTGAAAAATGATTCTAATAAAGAAAGGGTGGAAATAGAATGCATTCAAAATGAGGTAGTGATAAAAAAATTTAAATGGTTTGGAAATGTAGGACAGACAAAAAAGCACCTACAAGAAAAATAAATAAAGTTAATTTAATAATCAGGCAGACCAGAGATGACGTGGATATAAGTTGCAAAAAAAAAGTAGGTCTAACATCTCTTACAAAACTTAGGTGGAAGGAATAAGGAATAAGGATTCAAGAGACCAAACCCATTCAAAATTTGCTCTAACATCTCTTACAAAACTTAGGTGGAAGGAATAAGGAATAAGGATTCAAGAGGCCAAACCCAACCACTTGGAATAACACAAATGATGATGATCATGTAATATTTTCAAAAGAGTTATGGTTTTTTTATGAAAAAAACATGTTGCAAAGGGTCATGTTAGTTCCCTTTTATAGAAAAACTTCAGAAGTGATAGAAATAAAAAAGTATCTGAACTCTTAATATTGAGAAATAATCAAACACAAGAGAAAAGCTTTGCTCTAAAGTTTTTCTGTAAATAATTTAAGGGCATTTACATACATAAAAATCAATTCTTATATATTTGCATATCTAACACCTAACGTTTGATAGTTACATTTATAACACTTTTAGTTTCATAAACATACGCATGAAAAGGTGCATTTCACTTTTAAAAAGTTAATAATGTTGATATTTTTAGGTGATATTAAAGTTTTGAGTGTTTTGAATGTAAATATGAAAGTTTGGCGTTAGATATGCAAATCAATAAGAATTGTGGCGCATATGTGAATTTTCCAATAATGTAATATACAATAAAATAACGCATCAAGAAGCACAAACCTTCCCATGTGGCGATAGCTTTTTCCAAACCATAGACCTTCCCAATTGGTGCCCATTCATCCATGTCTTCACCCCAAATGAACGTGTGTTTATCAATTATACCACCAGCCCAAGCAGTTTTAAGAGTTATCAATTCCAAAGGACCTCTAGTGCGTCCCAAGCGATCTTTGTACCACCACCCTCCGCTTCTCATTATGACTATAAAAGCAACAAACTTTAGGAAGAATAATACAGATGTTAACCAGATAAAATGTCTAACAATTAATTTCCTCCTATTTATTAATATAGAAATTACCGCAACAATGATCATTAACATAATAACTAGATTGGTGATATATTGAACATACTTGGCAGAAATTTTAGATGCAAATATAGCGACTGTAAAATGGGCTTCGATGTGCTTATTGAAACTAATAAATATAGCGACAGTAAAATTAACTTTGCTATGCTTATTTAGTAGTGACTGCAAATTGCTACAAGATCAGAGTTGCAAATGCGCGCGCGCGCACAAACATCACAGTTGCAAATGGCTTCATTCTCTGATACACATACATCATAGACATCATAGTTGCAAATGGCTTCATTCTCTGTGGTGCTGCAAAGTAATGGCGACAACAACTTTGGTTCCTAATTCCTCATGTTTATAAGTATTTATCCCTTCTAGTAAACTATGCGAGACAATGAACAAAATGGAATCTAAATCAGAAATCGGAGGTAAAAGAGATAACTCACAGTCGTAGTAGCGCCTTTCCAGATTCTTGTACCCAATCGCCTGCGCAACATCGATTGGCCGACTAGAAGGATACGGTCTCTGCCTGAAACCCCACAAACCAAACAAGAACTGCCTTGCAAAATCCCAGAACTTGTCATCAGACTCCTTCTTCGTCTTAATAGCCTTCCTTGGCATCGGCCGTCCATCCAGCCCCGGCACATATGGCAAAGCCTTCCAGAGCTTCCGATCCTCCCACCGGTAAGGATGCTCGTTTTCTTTTAGCTCCATCTCGTTGAGCTTATCAGCTATTACCTCCGCCCGCCTAAGGAACTTGACCACGGGGCTCTTCGTGAACTCCTCCCACCACTCCAAATTCTCTTGAATCTTCTCCGGCGTCAGGTTCTCCGGCTTTTCGAAGAATGGGTCGTCGGACAGAATCCGCTCCACCTCGGGACTGTGCCGGTGGTCCGGCCGGTTCTCGCATTCCCAGTAGAACTGCTCGAGCATCTGTGAATACATACCAGGCTTGTTCTCCTTGGAAGTCTCAGCGTCAGTAGTTCCATTGGTGGAGGAGGTGAGTTTAGGGTTTTGAGGATTCTCTGAATCCTGGATAGGAAGGTTTCTGCCGCCGATGAAGGCGAAATTAGGAGGTGTAGAGGGTTTGTTGGGTTGACGAAACCAGTTGTCGCCAAACCAGCCGAGGTTGATGGAAGCCATGAAAGGGGAGGAAGCTGGCCCGCACTAGGCTAGTCGGCCATAGCGAGGAATGGGTTGCGGATAGATGGCCGGGAATGGCATGTTTATTGTTTAAATTTTATTTTTGGATGATTTACATACATCTTAATAATTTAAGAATTTACACATCTATCATCTAAACTTCAGTTTATATATAAACTTTACATTTTACATTTATACCATCAAATCTTTCACATCATATCAAAAAATATCACTATTTTAACTTTTTCAAAAAATAAAATATATATTTTTATGAATAGTTAAATCTTCTATGTCACATAGAAAACATCATTATTTTAATTTTTACAGAGTAAAATGCATATTTTTATGCATAATTAAGTAAAAATTGGAGTTTAGACGTTAGACATGAATGCATAAAGTGTCAAAATAGTCCCCAATTATTTATATGATGTCGTTTTAATCCCAAAATTTATAGAAGTGCAAAATAACCCTCAGATTCCTTAAATTGAGGCCGAAATAGTTCCCATGGACCATTAGAGCTCATTTTTAATAATGATATTAAAAATAATATATAATAATGATATATTATATGCAAGTCGGAACATGCCTTATAGAAATCTAATAAAGACTTATAATTATTTGCATTTTTTTTTTTTGCAAAAAATAAATAAGAAATAAAATATTCACCATAACATTAATTAAGGGGGTTAGGGACCATGGATCAGAGCTACTTCAAGCGGTGTCTTTTGGTGATGGTAAATTTACTGTCAAGAATTCAATGTCAATTGTTCTTTCTTGTTTCAACTTGGGGAAATTTACATACATAACGCACACTTCTTATGTATTTACATATCTAACAGTTTAAGCCTGATATTTATATTTATAAACACTTTGGTGTCGTAAAATTATGCATGTAAAGTTGTAAAAATTTAACAATGGTGATACATATTTTTTAAAATTTAAGTTTTTTAGTGGTACAAATGTAAATATGAGAAATTTTAGGCGTTAGATATGTAAAAACATAGGAATTGTGTTGCAAGTATGTAAATGCCCCCTTTAATTTATTTTTTTATCGTTATTTATTTATTTCTCAAAAAAATACTTCAATTCATAAGAAATAAAAATGCTTCTTGTGCGGTCTCCATCGAACAGCTGAACTTATTATCTGCCAGAATTCAACAACCAATGGAATTTCAGTATCTCCATATTTCAAGGAAAATTGCTCAGCTGATTGGCGCAATTGCCAAACAATCATTCTTTCGCAAAAAATAAATAAATAACAATAATAAAATAAATACATAATTGTAATAATTTATTTTATGAAATTAAATTTAGCATTTTCGCTTTGGGGGCACTTTGGATCATACGTGCTAGAATGAGCAATTAAGAAATAAATTTTTTTTTTTCTGAAATATATTTTAAGCATAAAGAGGCCGTCCATAAATTTTATTTGAACATTATTTTATCTCTTGAGGGTGTTTCATCAGGGAGTGTTATTAGGTGCGGACGCTGCACCTGCGGCGGCGACCGTTGCGAACCATGGTAAGTAGTTTTTCTTTTTTTTTTTTTGGTGCCGATGTCCGCGCCCTTCACGCCATCCGTATGAAATAGTTTTTCGTTTCATTAGGTTTTTTGTCAACATCATCAACTTATGTAGTTCCTTGAGATTTTTTTTTTTGTTTTTCATGTACAATCTTGATTGAAGCCTTAAGTGGGTAGATCCAACGATCGCCATATAGTGTTTTTAATTTCTCATTTCATAAGAGATCAATAAATATCTTATACTAAACTTTCATTAACTACTACAAAATAAATTGTCAGTATATGTTGAATCTTTTTAGAGCGTTGGGTCCTATATTGTTCATGATTTCACATTGCTGGGGAGAAACGCCCGCGCGTGCGTGTGTGTAGGTTGAATCTTTTTAGGGCATTGGGTCATGTATTATTCATGATTTCACATTACTGGGGAGAAACATGTGTGTGTGTGTGTGTGAGATGTGGGGTGAAGGAAGAGAATTAATCTTTTCTCTAGGCTTGGATTATGTGTTTTCCCGATGATCATTCCACGACAGAGATTGACAATAATATCTAACCAGCAATAAAGAATGAGAGAAGGACCTAGCGAGATGGATCTAGAGCAAGTTCTAAGTTACCATGTGATATATATGGAAAAGTTGATCCTCCTTTTTGGATCTCGCTCCATTCTATTTTTACATGTTAAAAAAAATAATAAAATATGAGTCATAGTATATAAAATTTGTTCGTGGTGTCTTGATGAAAATATTGGGATATAGATATCAAATAGCTCATAAATGAGGATATGGTGCATGTCACTCATTGATGCAGGCCTTGTTTTTTTCATTTTGTCGATTATGACGATCACCAACGAGGCAAGTTTGGTGGATGAATTTGATTGTTCTCTTCTTTATTTGAAACCGACATATCAGTGATCTGCCAAGCTAATCTAGGAGGTCAGTTTGCCCGTCCAATCCAACAAGTTCATTTACTTGATCAATCCATTAGGTTAATTCGAAAGGTCAGCCCAACATCTGGTACATAACAACCAACTTATGGGCAAGTAAGATCGGCGCTTCACCTTAGCATGTCATGTTGGTGATGATTGTATCTTTCTGAACACACGAGCTTATCAGGCCCACGACAACTGCTAGGCATGTGATTTAGCCCACAAAATATTTTACTGATCCTCCAGAGTTAAATACATGCATAAATATAATCGGCATTAATTCAGTATTTTCTCACTGTTCCAAGATTACTTTAAATCAATGAGCACGAGACATGCATTGAAAGACACAGTCATAATTGCGGTTGCGTCCATATTTTGACCAAGTTTTGAACCCTATAGATAGACTCATTAAATGAATCATCAATATGTCTCACTCTCTCTCGTTTCATAAGCTTAGTTTGATTCCAAAATCCTCACTTTCTGTCTCCTTCCTTTATTTTTGAGCAAAAGAGCTCCTCTGTCGGAATTAAATACCCTGCAAAAAAGCTGCTAATCATTCCATTTTAAGAACCCTCATGCTTCCTTTCTCCCTCATCCATCAACAGCTCCCCTTTCTCAAACCCTCTCTCTCTCTCTTCCATGGCTACTGGCTTCTACTTAGCTGCTGAAAATTCCCTGCAGATTGTCACTAATGGAGGAATGAAGCGAGAGTATGGAATCTAGCTAGAAAGCTAGGGAGGGAGAGAGAGAAAATGTATACTAAAACTAGCCGTTATAAGCCTTCTTAGGGTTTTCAGCGGGAAGATTCTGAGTTTGGTTAATTACAGCTAGGAAGAGTGTTTATGGCTTGTCTAATGAAACGGTTCCAATGCCTATTGCGTCGGAAGGCCGCAGCGAAAAATGGTGAAGCGATGCAATAAGCATAATTGCAATGTATCTATCTATCTATCTATATATATATATATATATATATATATGGCTTTTTAATTTTCAATAGTATGCTATTTTAACCCTACAATCTATAAAAATGTCAATTTTATCCCCAACCTTTTCTAATGGAGACTAAAAATATTGTCAACTCTTGAAATTATTTAAACTCATATTAAAAGTTTTTTTGGGAGAAACTTAAAAAGAATGACTTTATTTAAATACTCAGGATACTATTATAAAACTTCATTCACATAAAAGATTTGCATGATATAGTTTTCATATTTTCAATTTTAACATATAGGTGAGATATCTCACAATTATATAATCATTCTCAAACTAAACAGTAATAACAGTACAACTTCAAAAACTAAAATCATTATAATTAAATTAACGATAAAATATCGAGTCAAGATGCCGTGGGTGTGAATTCGTGGTATTGTAGCATAATGCCATCACAAATACCACCAGAATAGTGTCACATGTGCTATTCTGATGGTATTTTGGTACAATAACACTACAATATCTTCATAATGCTATCAATTTGTAATTAATTCACACACATCTCATCCACACATAATATTTTCTCCTGATTAAGAACAACTAAAACTAACCCGCCGCCACAAGAATCTCCACACAATCCCGCTAGGTAGGCCCAACCCCATCACCCCCGGTAGCCCTAGCACTCGGTGCCCTAAAAATCAAATTTCCTCCGACATTCATCCCAAAACCTACCGAAGCGGTCGCATCGAATCCAAATTGATTTCCCGGCCATAAATCAGCTGAAGGCTGCGGAGGATTGAATTGGTACCTCGCAAGTTCCGATCGTGCGAAGGAGAGCTCGAGCTGGAGCTTACGGAGTTCGTGATGGAGAATTGAGATGACACCCACACAACCATATACGGGATCTCTGATACGCATATCCGCTTCGTAGGCGAGAGAATTTACGGCGTCTTCTCGATCTTTCTGGGGGATTTCCTTGAGAAGTTTGGTGACATTGCTGGCTCCGAAGACTCGGTGGACGCTGATGAACTTTTGGGGTTGATCGGCGAGGAAGTAGGGTGCGAATACACAATCGGGTTGGCATTTTCGGCGGAGGAATTTGCAGGCGGCGCAAGGCGAGGAGGCGGTGGCACTGCCGCCGGAGGCGGAAGAGGGAGGAGGAGGAGGAGATGTTGGCGGGAAAGAAGAAGGGGGAGTGAGCGACGTCATATGTATGCAGTTGATTGGAAAACTGTAAAGAAATTTAAGAAATTTGGGGTCAAAAACTAATTAATGAAATAGTAGCGTTCAATGGTTAGAATTGGATTATTATATAGCAATCATTCAAAATAGTCAATAATATTTCAATATAGCAATCATTTAATGATATAAAATGTATCATTGATATTACTTCATATAAAATAATATATATTGATATTATTTAAACTTTAGAATATTATATAAGTGAATATAAGATTTTATTGGGGAAGGAATTTACATAAATCACATAATTTTTATGTATTGAAGCATCTAAAAACCATAACTCTTTTATTTATTTATATAACATTTAAATTTTTAACAACAAATAGAAAATAAAACCAGCATTATTATTTTTTTTAAGTGAAATGCACATTTTCATGCTTTTATGTAATTAAGGGTTCGTTTGGGGCAGCTTATAAGTGCGGGCGGCGTTTTCAAAACATCGCCGTACCGTTTGGTTCGCGCGTTTCGTCAGCTTATCGGAAACTACATTTGGATTTATGCGTTTGGATTTTAACACAAAACGCAGGCCGCTGGTCGACCCCTGCGGCCGGCTCGCGGGCCGCATTTCAGGATAAACAGCTTATCATGAAACGCACAAGCTACCCCAAACGGACCCTAAGTAAGTAAAATGGTTCAATTTTTTGTGTTAAAGGGTATTTATGTAAATTTTGCTTTTTAAAATTAGAAGCTTCCGATAAATGCATATTGCATAGTTTTTTTCTTAAGGTTAAATATTCACTTTCAGAATCATGGTTTTGCAGTACAAAATTATTGAATAAATATCTTATATTCTTAGCCAAAAGTATTTCTATTAAATATATTATTAATAGTTTTTAAAAAGCTAAATACACTTTTTTTTTGCATATAATTATCAAAATTTAGCTTAAATATGTAAATATATAAGAATGGCGTGGTATGTATGTAAATGCGCCAAAATTTTTATAAATATCCTAAAGTTAAGTTGGTGTGGTTTGAATAATTTTTAGGGCCCGTTTAGGGCAGCTTATAAGTGCAGAGGCGTTTTTAAAAACACCGTCTAACCATTTGATGTCTGCATTTTTGAAAATGTTGTCTGTCGCATTTGAGTTTTTTATATTAAACGTAGGTCCACCCCAAACAGACTCTTAGTTGCAATGCTAATTATTATACATATCCATGATTTAAGAAATTTCAACAAAATTTTTTAATTAAAATATATTTAATAAAATTTGAAATTTTCTTGAGATGAAATGCAAATTGTGATGGATTTCGGGTATATTTGTTATAATTATAGTAATTAGTGGCAAATCTGTCAAAAATAGAAAATATAAGAGATGTTTAGATACTTGATGAATTATAAGGCAGCAAATCGTTTCCTTTACTAATTAGGTTTTCTTATAGATGCGTGCCCAACTTCTTTCTATTTTGTAATATTAATATAAGATGAGAAGCAAATAATATTTAATATAAAAGTAAATAAATAATACAAATTTAGATTTTCAAGTTAATTTAAAAAAAAAATAACTTTTCAAAGTCATTTCAAATAAATAAATAAAAAAACTCATTCTATATATAGAAAATTGAAAATACCAAAAAAATATATATATATATTATATAAAATTTAAATTTTGTTTTAATTTGAACATTCGTGCTATAACTTTAATGAACCTAAAATTAAAAAAAAAACAATAAACCATAAAATTATTGAAAGCTTGATCGTAAATACTTCGGATTGAAAAAAAAATCATAAACAGTAAGTAAATGAGAGATAAGAACAAAAGCAATGAGGGTGCTGCCGGCCGCAGCCGGTGGCCGGCGGCGGCGGCGGATTACCTTGTACGGCCTGTGTTTATGAGCTGCTTTCACTCTCCGTGTCTCTCTTTATCTTTCTGTATGACGCTAACAGAGTGCAGTAATTCAGTCGCTGGGGTCGTTTTCTTTCATTTTGCCTCACTCTTTCTCTGCAGAGGAGAGGCGAGGGATCTGCGGGGAGGCTAAAAGATGGTGAGGAGAGAGGCGTCGGGGAGAATTTATGGCAGCGTCGGAGAAGAGAGAGAGAGAGAGAGAGAATAGAATATTGTATTGAATAAGAGAGAGAGAGATGGCGTGGGGAAATAATTTTAGAAATTTTATGAAAATATTTTGTTGATGTAAATGTCAATCTAGTTGTTTATAATTTTTTTTTTTTGGGCAGCTACAGTTTATTGAATAATATGCTGATAAACAGATTAAAAATAATTTATTGATAAGTTAAGTATGGTGGCTATTACAGTCAAACCGCAACTAGAAAACTGTCACCGCATCTAGATAGATGCGGTGTGTAAATGCTGTTTGAAAATGCATAAACTGCTAAAACGCAGTTTACGCAAACAGATCGGGTGCGTTTTAAAACGCCACCGCACTAAATAAGTTGAGGCTCCAAATGCACTTAAAATTTTTTGGAGATTTGCATAGGTGCCCATCAAATTTTATTTATTTACATATCTACCACCTAAAGTTCAATTTTTACATGTGTGTCTTACCTATGAATGAGAATGAGCATTTCATTCTTTAAAAGTTAAAATGGTGATATTTTTTTTATGTGAAGTAAAACCTTAAGTGATATAACTATTAAAATAAAGTTTGGACATTAGTTATGTAAATAAATAGGAATTTGTGGGCATGTATGTAATAACCCAAAAAAAAATCATCATATTACGAACCTCAATCCATATATAGTGATCCTAATGCAAAATAATCCTTTATAAGGAATGTCTTATATATACACTTTTAAAATAAAAGTAGGGATAAATAAGCTCATATCATTACAAGTTTTCATATTTACAAAACCACCTCTCAAAATATTCTTCTTTACAATCATACCCCTCAAGTCTTCAAAAGCATAATAAAAGTATCAATTCATAATGATTTAATTGCATCATTTTTACGTGCATTTTATTAAATCATATAAAACAATTAATTTGGTGATATATATATCTATGTGTGTGCGCGCGCGCGCGCGTGAGTGATCGCGTGCTCATTCGCCTGACTCATTGGTTTGATAATTGTGTATGACCGAATTGCACACCTGGGGGGTCCGCTCCTCGTTCAGACTTTGGGGTTGATCAGTGATCAACCTTTATATATGTGTAAAAAATAATATTAAAATGGTGAGGCTTGGTGCCTGTTATTCCAAATGATAAGAGACAAACTAAGAGGGAGAGGCCAAATTGCTCCCACATCTAAGCTTTAATGAAGGCAGACCCAAAAACATGTATATCCATTAATGCAAACATAGTCTAGCTTTTTTCATAAATAGATAATTCCTTCCTTCTCTTTCTCCTCTCTCCCATGCATTAATTCTCATGATAGTCACCACTCATTGTAGCCAACCTACCAAGGAATAAATGACATTCTTGGTAACTCTTTCATGTGAAGAGTATGAGGGTAGATAGGGAGTAGGTTATTGCATTTTTTATACAATCATACATAATGTTTCTTACATTTTCAATGTACTTCACTAATATAATATTAATGTTTTACATGCATGCCACACAATTCTTATATATTTCACACATAAACTTTGATATTTATATTTATATCACTTTTTCTATCTAAATATCAGTTATTTCACTTTTCAGTGTTATAAATGTAAAAAGTAAAGTTTAGGTGTTAGATGTGTAAATTCATAAGTAATGTGTGGTGTCTTATATAATACACCTAATTTTAATTATATTTAAGCATCCATAGATTAAATATGAAACTAAGTTTAATTGATAATATTTTTTAATAAATTTTTTTTTGTTTTAATTATATTTTTAGCAATCTAATAATGAGAGTTTGATTGTAGAAACTTTATAAGAGAATTTAAAGAGCAATTTATATCTCAATTAGGACTTATAATTATAGGTTAAATCTTTGTTTAGTACTTTGCCAAAATATAGGCAATTTATATACTAATGTTCAATTGTTTCATTGGAATGTAGGAAAATGAAACATAGACTTTGTGGGCACAAGGCATTGAGTTACACTTATGACTTGATGAGTAAATAGTACACTGGCATTTTTGCTTTTTGATTCTCACTTTATTGGCATTGCTCTTAAAAATAGGCAAGTTAAATTAATTGAGTTAGATTATTTTTTTTAATCATCTGGGACGGGTGCGTTCCGAGGCGTGAACTGGGAGAGAATAGATGTTCTTGAATAAGATGACCTTTGCATTTTTTATTTTGATCTTTTGAAATATGAAAGAGTCAAATAAGATGTGTTAAGTTTTTTATCATTCTGGCATCGAGCTATTTTTCCGCAAGACCCCCCCTACAGTATCGTCACCGCAGTAGAGTTTAACCATCACTAAATGTCTACTTTTTTCATATGCCTTAATGAACATTTATCTCACATAAAGAGCCAGCTGACTCACACATATGGAGTCATTGTGTGACTCATCTTTTGTCAAATCATAATAGAATAGTCTCTCAACATCAAATGTTATGTAAGACTCTAAATTCTAAAATATTTGTAAATATTTAATTATGAAGGGTGATTTAGTATTTTGGTTCATGATTAAGCAAATTTATTTATTTTTAAACCTTAGATTTAGCCATGTTTGAATATAAGAATAGGAGCTCATTATTTTTTGGGATCATTATATAGAGAACATGAACTATCAAAGTGACGTATTTACGCGTGTCACGGTCAAATCATTGTGAATTTGATAAAAATGAAAAAAAATGAAAAATATGGGTTGAGAAAATATGGGTTGAGATTTTATCATGACTTTTGATATTTGAGTGAGAATTTGAAAAAAGAATGAAAGAGGAAGCTTGATTTGTAAATAGCAATATTTTGGATGCCCTGTATGTCATTTTACATAGCAGGCATCATCCATCCAGAGATGATCACAGTTGTCCTTATATGTGATATTGCACTATTTTGGGCTGTTGTGAGGGGAAAAAAGGTTTTATTTTATCTTATTAGTACACAACATAAAAATCATTTAGTATACTCTAAATGCAAAATTCATCAGTGTCAATCAAAATAGTCATATTAATTTCAATAAAAGAAAATACAGAATAAGAAAAGAAAATCATAAACTGGAACAAGATATCAAACCATATTTTGCAGCATTAAACTGAGCTCTAATGATTAAGTTTGAACTAAGTATTTTAGCAGCTCAGAAGCACCAAATATAAACATTTTAAAACAGCAGGGCCTTATTCATTAAGAAAGTAATTTCTATTTATAGATGAACATGATGAATATAATATAATTTTTTTAATTATATATATAATAAGTGTACATCCCCAAATTATATGATATATTTGTAATAATGAGGATAATAATCCAAATAACAAAAAATATTGTAAAAATCAAAATTTAGGTGTTAGATATGTAAATACAAAGGAATTATGTGCTATGTATGTAAATGCCTTAAAATAATATACAATTGTCATAAGAAGCCTTAAATGTATAAATACTTGCAAAGGAACATGAAGCAGATGAACAGTCACAGATTGATAGCAGAAAACAAGTACAAATATTTCTCTAAATCATATACTATTCTAATACAACTTCATATTATTTCCAAAAAAGTATTATAACATTCTCAAAATTTATACTCTGATGTTATTAATGATCAAAATATCAAAACTGTCCAATCCTTTTCCTAAAAATTGTCAACAGATGTATATAAATAACACTCATGCAAGCAACAAATATGAGCATGCAAATATAAATTTGTTTGAGTCTAAAGTGCATAAAAACTTTTGTGGTCATTGTTTCCTACCTCTGAGTCTGAGACCATTGACAGAGACCATGATCTGGATCTGCTCCCTGAACCCCTCTCAATGTCTCTCAAGCTCATCTCCTCCATCCTCTGCACAACAATACAGTAACACATCGCCCCTATTGTAATGAGCATGATTGACGCACCGATTGCCATCGTCCCCCATGCCAGCCACCAGTCTTTTCCGCCGACGACAATGTAGGTTAGGGAGATGAAGGCGACGGAGATAAAAAGGCATGCCACCCACATCAGCTTGTTGATGATGAAAACCATGAGCTCCTTCGCCTTCTGCTGGACGACAATCAAGGAAGTCTGGACAACAACAACGGCAAGAGATATGAAGAGCGCGAGGGAATCAAAAATAAGGAAAATAATGAAGGAGGAAGAGTTGGCAATGTTGGCTTGACCGAGCGAAGAACCGTCTTCCGGATTCTGGACATACTGGCCTGGAACAGTGAATATTGCGGCGAAGGCCGAGGTGGCGATGAGGACGGCGACAATGGTGTTGGAGTTTATAGCATTGTTAAGTCCGCCAACATGAATTTTTCGTAGCCTTTTTTTTATATGGATGACTCGCAACTCGGTCTGTTGGGTCTGCTTGAGCTGGGTGTGGACGTCGTGTTTGATGTCGCTGACAGTTTTCTTCAGTTGTTTTGCTGGGTTCAAGTGGTTGCCTTGTTCTATGGAAGAGGATGCACCAGCTGAACTCAAGATGGCGATGACTTCTTCGAGGCCATTTTTTGCCGCGATGGCGAGGGCCGTTTCGTCTGCTTTGTTGAGTGAATTGACATCGATGCCTTCAACTGATACTAGAGCTTGCACAATCTGTGAAGATGGGAAAGGAGAGATTGATGATGAGTTCTCAAATGACAATTCTTTATGTATTTACATATTTCACACCAAAGTTATGGTATCTATACAGATGGCACTTTGCTGCTTTAAATCTATGCATGAATATGTGTATTTCAGTTTTAACAAATGGTGAAAATGATATATTTGATTTCATGTTAAGGATTTGAGTGCTATCTGTGTAAATATGAAAGTCTAGATGTGAGATATGTAAATACATTAGAATTGGGTGCTATGTATGTAAATTCTTCTAATATTATTCAGAAATTTGGTTCTAACTGCAAACACAGGTCTCATAATCTTAACCCATTCCTTTACAAACATGATGCTGTTGAGTTAACATCATAATTTTAACCCCATGTTCACTCACCAATTCTGAGAAAAACTAGGATTGAGCTTCAAGCACTGTCAATTAACAAATTCAATCATGAATTTTCTCAATCTCCGGTAAAGATGGCCTTCATATATTTATGACGGGCAAGTATTAATATATTTTTAACAGTATCAACTTACAATTTTTGTTCAAACTTTAAGGCTAAGACGAATGCTTCTGAAGTGAGACACTGAGACAAGCAATTGCAAGCTATAATGCATGTCATATTCCTATGTCAAGCCAATGATAAAACGGGCTAATAAGAACATTTTCTGAGTATTATAAAGAAGAGAAAAAAAGTCCTTTAGACCTCAAGGAAGTGTTGAGGAAGGTGGAAGGTGGAGACCCGGTCCACTTTCTATTACGGCATATTCTTTGATAAATTGATTCTAATTTATCTGCTCTTAATTCTTTTCCTTATGTATTTTATTCCCTGCCATAGCTTGATGATTCTCAATTTACCTTTAAAACAGTTGTCTTCTATTGACAGGAAGAATTAAAGAAAACTTAATTAATTAAGTTTTGCCAGAATTAATTTTCCGCCCCTCCTGTTATAGAGAAAAAGACAATGAATTTGATAGCTTGCCTATTTGGGCTTTATATGGGTCATTAAAGCATGATTCTATGAAATCTTGAATCTAAGGATTATCAAAACAAGCTGGATACTGTGAAGCTTTAAAAGGGGCTCACGATTACAGGGATGTGTATTACTCTCCAAACAGTTTAAAGTTATTTTTCTTCTTCTTGGTGTGACTCTTGGTTTAGGTTAGACAGAGAGAGAGAGAATTCTTTCTTGAAAGTCGACGTGGTCGACGGTGTAATCCTCAAAGCTAATAAAATCCTCTGCAGCTCCGTGGACGTAGGCAATAGGCAATTTGTCGAACAGGCAATTTGTCGAACAACGTAAATCTTGTGTCGTCTTTTCTGGTGTGATTTTTCTCGATTTATTTTTCGTTTTATTGTCGTCGTCAACTTTTTCATAACAATTGGTATCAAAGCCACGGTTTGGATCTGAGGAAGAACGATGACCGGAGACGAAGTGAAGGTTTCAGGGATCGAGAAGTTCGACGGGACGGATTTTGGATACTGGAGGATGCAGATAGAGGATTACCTCTATGGGAAGAAACTTCATCTTCCACTACTGGGAAAGCGACCGGAGAAGATCGACCGGAGAAGATGGAAGAGGCTGATTGGAATCTGTTGGATCGACAGGTTCTGGGGGTTGTTCGATTAACCCTATCGAGGTCTGTTGCTCACAATGTCATAAAGGAGAGGACGACGACAGATCTTATGGCGGCCTTATCGAGTATGTATGAAAAGCCATCGGCGAATAACAAGGTGCACTTGATGAAAAAGTTATTCAACCTGAGGATGGCGGAAGATGTGTCGGTTGTTCAACATTTGAATGATTTCAACACTATTACAAATCAATTATCGTCCGTTGAAATTGATTTTGACGATGAGATACGTGCGCTGATATTATTGGCTTCATTGTCAAATAGCTGGGAAGCCATGAGGATGACAGTTAG